GGGGGGGCCCCGGGGGGCTTGGGGGGGGGGGGGGGGGGAAGGGGGGGTCTGTCCAGAGCCTGGGCTGGCTATGGCAGGCAACTGGGAGGCTGCAAGCTGCTGAACTAAGGTCTGCGGAGCCCTGGCCCAGCTTGTTGCTGGCAGCAGGTACATGTGCACCTCCAGGCAGATGGCCCGGAAGGGACCCGGACTGCACTGCCACAACAAAGATTGGGCTCCTTTCCTCTTCTCCGCCCTGCCTGGCATACCAACATCTTTCAAGTTGAGTCTGGGGTCCTTTTGCCACTTTGCCAAAAACACTGCCAACCCCATTTTCAAGGAAAACTAAAACAATCAAATTGCCAATAGAGCAAATGAAAATGGGTTTTGCTTAATAATGCAAATCAAAGTGTCTGTTGTTAAGCATCTCACAATAAAGTTTAGATAAAAAACAAAAACTAGCAGTTGCATTTACAGCTAAATACCACACAATGTAGTCTTGCTCATTGACTTACATTAACCACCTATTTTTTCCCCCTACAGACCTGGATGAGCAGATTTCCCCCCCTCATTCAAGCAAACACTGCACTTTGAAAAGATTAAGGGGCAGATTCTATTCCATCTGTTCACCATTAAATTGGATTTAGGTGGCTAAGCACAATTCTGTTCCACCTTGTTCAAGTTCCTAAAAAAATCCATATTTCATCTACATTTTTAACACATCACCCTTAGGATCAAGTCACAAAAAAGCAGGGAACAGGACAACCATTCACCTTGTATATTAGCAGTTTCTCTCAGGGATTTGAGCAGGAATTTGTACTTAGGCACCTAAGTCCACTTACACACCCAGTATGTGGAACAGAATCTGGCCTTTGGTAACCAAACGATTACTTTAAAAATGTATTCTCCTCAAATATATCTCCTAATAAACTACAGTATTTCAGTACTCTGTAATGATTTTGGCCCTAGTTGTGCAAATTTTTCCATAATAATTTGATGGACTAGGGGTGTCAAATGTTTTCACAAGCTAGACAACCTGTCACTGCAGGCCACCACCCAGGTTAATGCAACTGCTGATTGCCCTCTCTTACCTGCCACTGAATTTCTAACTGTTGTTTGCAACAGGAAAAGCAGGGCATGAGGGGTACAAATAGTGGCAGTGTTAATCCCCCTCAGTGCTGGTCACACTAAAACAGCAGGTCCGTCAGCTGCAGAGAAGCCCTGCTGTCCATAACTAAAGGTGGGTTTTCTGGCCTGTGAGAAATCCTGCCAGCCAGATTATCCATGCCTTGGGTTTGGGCTTGGGTTTACCCCTTGGCTGCTGGCAGAGAATGTAGCCTGTCAGCTTGAGTTTAACGTCCCTATCATAAAGGGGGTTGTCTATCAACTAATATTGAGCTTGAAACCTCAGGCACTGACATATGATTTTATAAAAGTTTGGTAAAGTTACAAAAGATGTAGTTAAAAGCTTATTTGATCACCACAGTTTAAGGTTTTTAATGGATAATTAGAAGGGCTCTTGTAAAATGTTTTAAATACACAGAACATAAAAGTTTAAGTAATGATTTCGCTTTTGGATCTCTCTGCAGAAGATGCTTGCATGCATATAGCTGATCCAAAAAAACCCCAAACTGATGGAAGTTTTCGATTGGACAACTTTAATTTGATGCCATTGATGCGTTTTATAGATGCATGTCCATTTCACTGAAATTCGACAGGAAATTAGCTTAATATTTTGGCAGCGTATTACAGTTAAGAATATAAAAAGTTAAAATGGTGAAGTCAAAGTGTTTCAATAAGGTTGAAATCAAATACTAGTACTTCACAAAAACAGAATTTCAAAATTATGTGATAAATTCCTTTTTAAATGTGGATGGGGAAAATGTACAAGGAAGCTGCATGCGATTAAACATGATCAGTAGAACATTCAAATGAATGTATTATGTATTTTGTGATTAATTACAGCTAAAAAGTCAAGTCTGCAGTCTCACAGTATAAACATGCAGTCTCACCTGAACATTTAAAAATACTGACTTGCAATTAAATGAATATACTGAAGCCTATTTTGTTCTGTTCTCTTATGCCTTTTATAAAATCCAACAAAAAGACAAGGAAAGTAAATGCAGAAGTGACAGCAAAAATACAATTTTATATGCAAAAGAAGTTTTAAAATTCAGTTACGCCTTCACAGTAATTGCAATTGATGCATATGTGCCATACAGTGTAAACAGTAACACTAGATGCTACACATTTGCAATTGAGCTTTACTACTGGTAATTCCTGCAACTAGGAATTACTTGCGTCTTGTGTTTATAGTCACTGCCACAATTTTGAAATAGTGGCATTAAGTCGAGGCTACTAAAACACTTACAGCTCTTCAAATGATAAAAATCAAGTCCTTTGTGTCATTTGTAACTGAAGAAAAATATCTAAACCCATTTTTGGGTTCAGAACATAAATCATACTGAAAAAGTCATTAGGACTTAGAGATAGATTTAGTTGTTTGTGGTTTTTAAGACTTTGTAGGAAGGTTCAGGATTAAAAAAGATTCAACCTATGTTATCATGTTACATGTATTATTGTAGTGCCTAGAAGCCTTCGTTATGGAGCAGGTCCCCCATTGTGCAAGGGCCTGTACCAAGACAATAAAAAAAAACAAACCATTACTTCCCGCTCCAAAAGAGTTTAAAATCTAAGATGAGAGAACAGATGGAGACAGACAGGGGAGTGCAAGGAAACAGCACTGGTCTGCATAATGGGGGCATTGGCTCTGTCACACCAGCAGTCTCTCGTCATACTATGATGCCTACAAAATGCTTAAGGGTTTTAAAAAGGGAGATGAAGAACAATTAAGTGTCTATGGATCTGTAGAAAGCTCCTCTCAAGCACAAGAAGGTGGCATGGGAGAAAGCATGAAAGTGCTTATTTTACAAGTTAACATGCGGCTGACAGTCTGTCATCTGGGGCTGACTGGCACTGGCATTTTCTCTCTCCATGGTGAATGTGTTGATAGGTAAGAAGGAACAGGTCTTAGCACCTGGACCATAAAACAGCTGGGAATTCACATTTTGACGTCTTACAGTAACTACCTCGCTATACCATCCAAGTATTTGAGAGCGGATGAGACAGGTAGATGATTATCAAAACTAGTTTCATAAATACTATATGATTTTCATTGGTTCACATGGTCAACTGGGATTTTTGGCCTGTTGCAGCAAGAATATATTTAGATAATGAAATGAATGCAATAAAGGTAACTTAATAGCAATGCTGCCAAGTTTTACAGCATGTGGCATCCAGTTCTGGGCACCGCACTTCAGGAAGGATGTGAAGCTTGAGAGAGTCCGAAGGAGGGCCATGCACATGATTAAAGGTCTGGAGAGCAGGTCATATGAGGAGAGGCTGAAAGACTTGGGACTGTTCAGCCTGGAGAAGAGAAGATTTAAAGGGGACTTGGTGGTAGCCTATAAGTATATACGGGGTGTACATTAGGGCCTGGGGGAGGCATCTGTTCACCAAGGCACCCCGGGGGAAGACAAGAACCAATGGTCACAAACTGCTTGAAGAGCGCTTCAGATTGGACATAAGGTGAAACTTCTTTATGATTTGAGTACCTACGGTCTGAAACAGACTCCCCCCAGAGGTGGTACAATCTCTTATCCTTAAGATCTTTAAAAAAAAATGTCTTGACACGCACCTTGCTGAGGTCATCTGACCCCAGCAGTCTTTCCTGCCCGAGTGCAGGGGGGCTGGGCCCAGTGATCTCATGAATCCCTTCCAGCCCCTAACATCTATGAAACAGCTATAAATGGAAGTGCATAATTATATTAAATACATTCATTTCCATATACCGATAGATGTTTTACCACACTTGTTTAGTTTCTGTGCTCTAAAGTGCCTTCTCTTACTACCATTATTTCCATTAAGTTAAATAGTTCAGAGTCAAACTTTCACATAGGAGGGCAGTGAATGTTTATGCTCCCAATCACCACCTTAATGATCAGTATACACCCAAACATGGTTGCATAACTAAAAATGCAATACCCAGAACATGGGAGTTATTCTTCTAACCATAATGCTGGACCTACAAGTAGTGGTCACCAATTTATGCTTATGAGAAATGAAAATTGCACTCCTCCCTCCCTACCTTTGCACAATGTAAGGGTTAGCACTCTTTCATAGTCCCTTTAACACTCACTTAAGCATAAAAGATGCAATTACTCTTATTTCAGGAGGGATGAATGCAAATACTATTACTTTTATCATTCCAGTTCTGGATGGGCAGAAAACAATTTTTTGAAAACTTTTACACTTGTCTATTTTTCTAAAATAGGGACCAGCAGTAATCTGTCTTTTCTCACTATTGAGAGGCAGGATACTCAGGCACAGGATGCTATGAATGTGCATGCATGCATAGAGGCACACAAGGGAGAGGGATTCTAATCAGCAGCAGTATAATCAGTACATTTGCAATCCTCTCACTTCTGACTTTAAGTAGTGCAAGGCCAGACCCAGTTAGCAGCTGGATGAGGAACTTCTGAGGAAACCTTTAGATAAACTATTCCAAATCAGTATAAAACTATTGCCAAAATGTACCACATAGGATGAGTGCTGTTGCCCAAGGGTTTAAACAGAAGCCATGCCTCTGCCCTCTGGGTGAGAACTTTTACAGTTTTTCACAGGAAAAAGATGTTAGCTCATCTCTTGGTTTATTGTATTCAGCTGCCTCAATTCTTTCTGTAGTACATTGGAAGAGATTCATCAGTCTGCTGGATTTCAGGGTATAATTCAGGTGCTGGCTAAAAACCAAGAGCCACACAGATCATCTGAAAAGTACTTGGTGAAAGAAAGTGAAGAAGCAGCTGTAGGACTAATGGTAGCCATGGAGAGGTCTGTGTCTATCAGAACTTCTGTCATTTTTTTTCCCTTTCCAGGATTCCTGCCATGATTTCTGCACCACACCTGCCACACCTCAATGAAAGGCAAAGAATGGAGTGCCAAAGGGAGGAAGAGCTCTGTGAACACCAGTGTGAACCTGAACACTGCTCAAACTGCTCTGATTGTTTGACAACAGCATCAGAATCCAACTCAGGTTGCTACTTGCATATAAACACACACACACGTACACAAATACTATGGTATGTTAACAACATGCAGAACACTGAATTATCCCAGATACACAAATGCAAAAAGCAACTCCAAAATTTCTTTTATACTTTTTTGTATTATGCTCCTTTGACATTTTTCTTACAAAACCAGATTTACAGAAAAACTCAGCGTGCTCATTTGAGGCACATTTTCAAAAGACCTCTGCTGTTCATTAGACACAGGGGAGTATGTCTACACTGCAGTCAATCAGAGATGGGCATATCTGAGTGAATATCAGCTTGACTAGCTCAGGTATCAACAGCAGCATAGTTGCAGCAGCACAAATTTCAGTCGAGGCTATCTGCCCGAGTACACACCATGGCACTCACCCAGACTTGTACAGCATGTACGTAAGTCCCTGCTGCTAGAGTTAAACTATGGCTTGTCCCCAAGTTAATTAAATCAAAGCTCAGTTATACCCACAGATGCTGCAGTCATATCTTTGATGACAGAGTAGTCACCACCCTGAACGAAGGGGCTGTATTTTCCACTTAGAATAATGAGAGTGGTCAGGTCTGAGCACCTTTGGAAATCTGACCTACAGCCTAGCACCAGATTGCTCTTTATCTTTTAATCCCACTTCAAAATCTAGATCCCAAGTTCAAACTTCAACATATGACCTGGTGGATGGAAAGCAGGCGCATGTATTTTTCCCTGTTTTATAGTAGTGTTAAATGAAAAACCCTATTGTATGAAGGTCTGGCCAAAATACACAATGAGAGTGCCAAACTCTGGTCAAGACAGTTGCCTTGGATAGAAAGGAACATCCTGCACTCATGTTTTCTATTTTTAACAAGACTAACACAGGTTTAAGTTTCAGACCTTGCTCTTGCTGTCCTTTGCCATTATCAGAGATAAAGAATATCATGTTTAATACTTGGGAAAGGATACCATATAACTGGTAAGTTATCTGCCATCTACAGCTATTCTACATCGAGCTAATAGCGCTGTGTGAAGCTTTGGTCACCGATTTGATTTGGCAGAGATTTGGCCCAATTTGGTGGCCACACCTCTGAATCCGAATCGAATCAGAAGACCCTTTAATCTCTCCAAACTGAATCAGAACCCTCCAAATTGATGTGGAGAGGTTCAGAGATAGAGGCAGCTTTAAAAGTTTTTTCTACATACCTTGAGGTAGCAGGCACGGCTCGTGATTGCTGCAATGCTGGGGCACATGGAGTGTCCCACAGAAGCATGGAGGACTCCCCAGTTCGCTCGGCAGCAGACCTGGAAGTGGACCAGAAGCAATTCCAGTCTACTTCTGGATCTGCCAGGAAGCATGCCTCTCCCCTCCCCAGCTCAGTGACTGGTACCTCCTGGGTCTGGGGAGGGGGCACCTGGGGTTCCCCTGTGGCCGACTGCCAAGTCGGGGGGGAGGGCCCTAGCATGCTCCCTGGCAGACCTGGAAGTAGACCAGAAGTACTTCCAGTCCACTTCCGGGTTTGCCGCTGAGCATGTGGAGGGCCCCCCTGTGGGATGCTCCATGTGCCCGAGCATCGCAATGATCACGAGCCATGCCTGCTACCTCAAGGTTTGTAGAAAAAAAAAACTTTTAAAGCTGTCTCTTTCTCCAAACTGCTGATTCTCTGAATCAGCATTGAATCTTCAGATCTGGATTTGGCCAAACTGAATTGGGGACAGTGATCCAAATCAACAAATTGAATCACTGTCTCTGAATCGGGCTGAATTCGAATAGAATAGGGCCTGCTTCACACACCCTTTTGAGCTACAGTCCTGCCAGATCTCACTAGCCATGTTTCTAACGCCAAGTTTGGACAGGAAAATGCAGGAAGTAGAATTTCAGATTCAGAGGGCAATGCTGTCTTCTGCACCCTAACCTGAAGCAGTGTCAGAACCTGGTGCAAGGAAATTCCATGCTCCTGGAAGTCTGGATTTCTGGCGAGATACAAAATCTAGGTGCGAACCATCTGTGATTAAATAACCTAAGGATTTTTTTTATGCCTGAACCAATGGTAGCCTGTGATCTTTGCCCAAGATATGCAATCAAATAAGCAACCCAGAAGTCTTGAGGATTTGCAACCCATGTCCTAGGGTACCCAAAGTCTCCATAAAGCAATCAATTGCTATGTCAAAAGAGAAGCTCAAATTCCCCACCAAGCAAACTGTCACTCCATGACTGGTGGGAAAGCAGGAGAGAAAGTATTCCACTCTGACACCAGGACTATTCACTTGAGACCATTCACTTGAGACTACCCGTTTCTACACATGCTCAGGTAGGGGGAGGGAGGGCTGCTTTAATTAGAGCAGCTCCGAGAGCCACTCAAATTAAAGCACCCGGAGTGTCTCATATATGTGTCCCTGCACTTCAAAATGGCAGTGGGGTGCTTTAGCTAGAGCTCATTGAACAAGCATTAGTTAAAGCACCCCTGCCACCATTTTGAAGTGTAGGGGTGCTGATACACGAGATGCGGAGGCTGGCTGGAGCATGGTAACTATCAGGTTCCAGCAGACTGGATTAAATGAGTCTGGCGCAAAGTTCTATAATCAGAGCATGTTGGAGCAGCCTCCTGGCTCACGTACAGGCACCTAAAGTCTGGCAACCCAAATTAACTGCGAACTGTGGGTTGCTCTTATTCAGCTCCCTCCTGAGACCAAGAACACAAGCATTTTTCCCAGCCAGCCTGCATATCCTGTGACTACAGGCAAATTTCCTTTCACTATCACAATGTGTATGTATGCACTTCTGAGCACCAGCTAACACTAATTTGATCTTTTCTCCCACAGATTCACCAATAACCCTTAAAATACTTCAGAAGTGGGTTCCTACAATATCCCCCTATTTCGATAAAGAGCATTACTGTTATGCAGGCCAGCAGATCACTATTCAAGAATCAATAGACTACTTTGGAGCTATAGTTTGGCCTGGTGTAAGTTTTTACTTTTCTACTATTATAAAGCATCCAGCTAGTTAAACTTGTTGTAAAACAAAGTGCAACCCACTGTGATGCCAGGAGTGAAGTAGCATGACAATGTTTTGATGAATATCACTATTGAGGCTTCCATTCCAGCGCAGAATGGTAGCAGCAAGAAGTGTTTTGGCAAGGAGCGCCTCACCCACTTAGCATTTTGTTCCAGGAATGACAAATGAACGAACTGTAAATCCTTTTTAAATCTCTACCCCTCTCCCTGTAGAGACTGCAGAGAATAACTGCTGTCGTCGGTTGACTACAGACATTTCTAGGTGCACATACTTAAACAAAGGAAAAAAAAAAGCAAGCTTGAAAGTAGCATTCAGTTCTCTCATGTCTTCAGGAAGTTCCTGGAGAAATAAGCAATCAGCAAAACAAAGGGACACTAGACAAATACATTTTGAAAAATCTAAACATAAAGCATTCATATTTCAAAGAAACCTTAAAAAAAAGAACAGAATATAGCAACTTCACCTCAAACTGATTTAAGGATCTTGCCTCTAGCTGAGGCCCTACCCCTCCTCTCCCCTCACCCCAATAATAGCAGCAGGATGATACAGGTGCTCCCAATTTACTATTTCAAATAGTACCGTCTGTGATCCCTGCCTGCAGCATTTCATCCACCACATTAAGATGTGACTCAAAGAATTTAACTCCTTTACAATTTTACTGGAAGGCAGTGAACTGCTGAAAAAAATAACTTTCTACCCTGCTCAGTTCATTTGACAGAAAGTCTCCAGGGTTTAATCTATGGCATATTTCCTCTTAGGTACTGCATTTAGGATTGGAAAAACCTGCCACATTCTTAGGAAATTGTGAACAGTTTCTCATATACAGAGGTAGTGGCATCTGTACTTTGTCATAGAGAATTTCAAAGGAATTTCTGCAAGAAACACAACTCTAACTTTTCCTACAGCTACTGCAAATTGCACTAGTCATGAAGCAAGCACTTGCTAAGTTAAGTAAGGGATAAAAGCTTACAGGGGCACAGTGGGAATATAAAATTCAAGCTTGGCCAGCTAGGACACCTTTAGGAATCTGCCAACACGGAAGTGAGATGCTAGGAAGGAGTTAGTGCACATATGTGAACTGTATATGAATTTGACACTTGTGTTGATCCTTCAAAGGCATCTTGAGGAAAAAGCAATCTTCGTGGGATACTAGGGCTGGCTCAGTGCTCTAACCATACGTTAACAGATATTTTCTTCTGGATCATGACACATGACCTAAAGACAAATAATTTAGAACTACAAAAGCATCAAAATGAAACCTTAGGAAAAAGAAAACTTTCATTGGTTAGGATTTTCCATTGACCACAGCTGGCCTCTCTTTTGGGATCTGGATACACAATAGTGAGTTAATTCAAATCAACATTAGAATAATAGATCTAACCAAAAAACAAATTCCTTAGTATTTAATAAGTTATGAGAACTTACAATTACCTTTTTGTCTGTTCCTTTTTCAGAACTGTTCCATTACAAATGAGGGCAGAAATGCAGTTCGACTATAGTAGAGAAGAAACTCTAACAAACAACATAGTCATCCATTTCAGTTTGAAACTAGGAAAACTAGTGATCATAGAATTATAGAAAGTTTTTCCAATATTTAATCTAAATTTCCCTTGCTGCAACTTGAAACCATTGCTCGGTGTGTTCTGTTGTCTGCCACCACTGAGAAGTCCTCTTTGAAACCACTCTTCAAGTAGCTGAAGACTGCTATTAAATCCCCATTTTTTTCCAGACTAAATAAGCCCAGTTCCCTCAGCACCTCCCCAGCAGGCATGTGCTCCAACCCCCTAACCATTTTTGTTACCTCCTGCTGGACTCTTCCAATTTGTCCACATCTTTTCTGTAGTGGGGGGCCCAATTGGACACAGTATTCCAGATTTGGCCTCACCTGTGCCAAATAGAGGGGAACAATCACTTTCCTTGATCTACTGGCAACTCTTCTACTAATGCTGCCCCATATGCCATTAGCTTTCTCCACAACCTGGGCACACTGGGCTTATATTCAGCTCACTGTCTCCTGTAATCCTGAGGTCTTTTTGTGTAGAGCTGCTGCTTAGCCAGTTGGTCCCCAGTCTGTACCAGTGCATGGGATTGTTCCATCTTAGCTGCAGGACTTTACACTTATACTTACTGAACCTCATGCGATTTCTTTTGGTCCAATCCTCCAATTTATCAATGTTTCTGAATCCTACCCCTACCCTCCGGCATATCTACTACTCCTACCAGCTTGGTGTCATCCACAAACTTGCTGAGGGTGCACGCTATGCCATCTTCCAGGTCACTGATGAAAACATTGAACAAAACTTGATACTGGCTGCCAACTAGACATCAAATCACTGACTACAACCTTCTGAGCCCAATGATCCAGACAGTTTTTTATCCACTTCAATCCATTCATCTAACCCATACTTCCTCAGCTTGCTTGTGAGAATGTTGAGGGAGACCATATCAAAAGCCTTGCTAAAGTCAAGGTGTATCATGTTCACTGTTCTCCTGATATCCACAGAGCCAGTCATATCATAGAAAGCAATAAGGTTGGTTAAGCATGACTTGTCCTTGGTGAATCCATTCCGACTGTTCCTAATCTCTGTTTTCTCCTCCAAGTGCTTAGAAATGGATTCCTGGAGCACCAGCTCCATAATTTTTTCCAGGGACTGAGGTGAAGTTAACTGGTCTTAGTTCCCTGGATCCTCCATCTACCCTTTCTTAAAGATGGGCACTATGTTTGCCCTTTTCCAATCATCCGGGACCTCTCCTGATTGCCATGAGCTTTCTAAGATGATGGCCAATAGCTTTGCAAGCACACTAGCCAAGTCCTTCAGCACCCTTGCATGCATCCCATCCGTTCCCATGGATTTTTACACATCTAGTTTTTCTAAATAGTCCCTAACCTGTTCTTTTGCCACTGTTGGCTGCTCACCTACCTCCTCCCCAAATTGTGCTGCCAGGTGCAGTAGTCTGAAAGCTGACCTTGCCTGTCAAGGTGAAAAAGGCACTAAGTACTTCAGCCTTTTCTGTTACTAGGTTGCCACCCCTATTTAATAAAGGACCCACACTCTCCCTGATCCTCTTGCTGCTGATGTACTTGTAGAAACCCTTGTTACCCTTTATGTCCCTTGTTATCTGCAACTCCAATTGTGCTTTGGCTTTCCTTACTTCCTCCCTGCATGCCCGAGCAATAGTCTCCCCTAATTGTTTGTCCAAATTTCCACTTCTTATAAGCTTCTTTTTGTGATTTAGCTTACTGAAGAGATCCCTGCTAAACTAAGCTGGTCTTCTCCTGTACTTACTAGTCTTTCAGTACATTGGGATGTGCCTCAATAAGGTTCCTGTGCCCCCAATAAGGTTTTGTTTTGTTTTTAAAAAGTACAGCTAACATTCCTGGACTCCTCTCACACTGGCCTCCCAGGGGATCCTGCCCACAAGTTCCCTACGGGAACTGAAGTCTGCGGCAGCGCAGAGTGATGGATGGCAGCAGCAGCCGCCACGTGCGAGCTCCCCACTGCCCTCCCCATGTCTGGCTGGCCAGGTGGCACCTGTGCAGGCCGCAGAGGGGCACCGCTGCCCTCGCTCCCCTCCCCCCGGCCCTGCTCCTGGGAAGCGGTGGTAGTGTGGGGTGGTGGTGCTCCATCGACACCCATACCCCCTAGGACCTTTCCAAGTACCCCTAGGGGTATGCATACACTTGGTTGACAACTCCGGCACTACTACATGCCCCACCAATTCCTCCTTTGATGGGACTATAGGAAAATTTGCTATGAAAAGAACACTCTTTTGAGGGTATTATCTGCTAATACACACCTTGGATATACTTCAGTTATTGGAGACTAGGGATGTGATTATTTTTGGGCCTGTATTTTCATTGTTTTCTGTATGTGAGAGAAAGGTGGTGTTACTTGCCCTCATTTGCTAAATACAAACTGGCTATTCTGTAGAGACTTGATCTTGCTCATTTGATTCTGGGTACAAACTCCTAGGCAATCTTTCCCATCTGAACAGG